TGGTGTGTTGAATTTTTTGAATAGGGTGCTGGCAGATTACGGTCCTCTATAGCTGCTATTGCCAGGGCCCTAATCTGCCAATGTAGGCCCCTATATTACCGCCTCCTCATGCTGCTGCCAAGTCCAGAGTCTCTCATGGTCCCTGTACGGCTCGTCCCATTGCTGCGGCTTGTCTCCCATCGCCACACTCTGCCATGTGCCACGTTTTCAGGTCTCTCACACGAACTGCTGGTGTGTTGGAATTTTTTGACATAGGGTGCTGGCAGATTACGGGCCTCCCATAGCTGCTGCCAGGCCCCTAATCTGCCATGGGCCCCTATATACCCGCCTCCTCATGCTGCTGCCAAGTCCAGAGTCTCTCATGGGTCCCTGTACGGCCTGCCATTGCTGCTGTCTCCATCGCCACACTGCTGCCATGTGCCACTTTTCAGGTCTCCTCACACTGCTGGTGTGTGTTGAAATTTTTGACATAGGGTGCTGGCAGATTACGGGCCTCCCATAGCTGCTGCCAGGCCCTAATCTGCCATGGGGCCCCTATATACCGCCTCCTCATGCTGCTGCCAGGTCCAGAGTCTCTCATGGGTCCCTGTACGGCCTCCCATTGCTGCTGTCTCCATCGCCACACTCATGCCATGTGCCACTTTCAGGTTCCTCACACACTGCTGGTGTGTTGAATTTTTTTTGATAGGGTGCTGGCAGATTACGGGGCTCCATAGCTGTGCCAGGCCCTAATCTGCCATGCCAGGCCCCTATATCTGCCTCCTCATGCTGCTGCCAAGTCCGAGTCTGTCTGGGTCCCATGTGCTCCCATTGCTGCAGGTCTCCTCGCCACTTATGCCATTGTGCTCACTTTCAGGTCTCCTCACACTGCTTGGTGTGTTGAATTTTTTGACATAGGGTGCTGGCAGATTACGGGCCTCCTATAGCTGCTGCCAGGCCCCTAATCTGCCATAGGCCCTATTATATACCGCCTCCTCATGCTGCTGCCAGTCCAGAGTCTGTCATGGGTCCCTGTACGGCCTCCATTGCTGCTGTCTCCATCGCCCACACTCTGCCATGTGCCACTTTCAGGTCTCCTCACACTGCTGGTGTGTTGAATTTTTTGACATAGGGTGCTGGCAGATTACGGGCCTCCCATAGCTGCTGCCAGGCCCCTAATCTGCATGGGCCCCTATATACCGCTCCTCATGCTGCTGCCAAGTCCAGAGTCTTCATGGGTCCCTGTACGGCCTCCCATTGCTGCTGTCTCCATCGCCACACTCTGCCATGTGCCACTTTCAGGTCTCCTCACACTGCTGGTGTGTTCCATTTTTTGTCATAGGGTGCTGGCAGATTACGGGCCTCCCATAGCTGCTGCAGGCCCCTAATCTGCCATGGGCCCTATACCGCCTCCTCATGCTGCTGCCAGGTCCAGAGTGTGTCATGGGTCCCTGTCGGCCTCCCATTGCTGCTGTCTCCATCGCCACACTCTGCATGTGCCACTTTCAGGTCTCCTCAACACTGCTGGTGGGTTCCATTTTTTGTCATAGGGTGCTGGCAGATTACGGGCCTCCCATAGCTGCTGCCAGGCCCCTAATCTGCCATGGGCCCCCCGTACCGACTCCTCATGCTGCTGCCAGGCCCGTAATCTGTCATGGGCCCCCTGTTGTCGCTTGTTGGCATATTCCGCTCGTTCAGATGCTCTTCTCCTGTACTCCTCTTCACGGATTCCGTCAGCAGTCTTTCTTGGAATCCGTTTCCAAGAGGGACAACAGTTTGCGAGCACGCACCCGACGGTGCAGAAGCTGAACGTCCTCCTGTCCAAGTTGCTGCTGCCAGGCTCGTAATCTGTCATGCGCCCTGTACCGCCTCCTCATGCTGCTGCAGGTCCAGAGTGTGTCATGGGCCCCGTACCGACTCCTCATGCTGCTGCCAGGCCCGTAATCTGTCATGGGCCCCTGTACCCCTCCCCATGCTGCTGCCAGGTCCAGAGTGTGTCATGAGTCCCTGTACGGCCTCCCATTGCTGCTGCAGGCCCGTAATCTGCCATGGGCCCCCGTACCGACTCCTCATGCTGCTGCCAGGCCCGTAATCTGTCATGGGCCCCTGTACCGCCTCGTCATGCTGCTGCCAGGTCCAGAGTGTGTCATGGGTCCCTGTACGGCCTCCCATTGCTGCTGTCTCTATCGCCACACTCTGCCATGTGCCACTTTCAGGTCTCCTCACACTGCTGGTGGTTTCCATTTTTGTCATAGGGTGCTGTATGGCCTCCCATTGCTGCTGCCTCCACCGCCACACTGTGGCTCCACACTCTGGTTTTGGCCCCGTGACTGCCCAAATGAGTGAAGTGTGCGGTGATTCTAAGATCGACGGAACTCATCTGCATGTCATACTGACTGACAGTATTATTTCTCTTCCCCAGCAGACTCCAAGGGCATTTAAATTAAAGGTACAGTGTTCTGCACTAATATTAAGTCTCTCTGAAGCCTAGAAACACCCTTTTTTAAGTTAAATTCACAGCGAATATATAAAAACAGCAGACTTACAAGCAGAATCACCAGATGAAAATAGAAGAAAGAACCCCTAAAAAAGAAAACTAATGCAGAAATCACATTTAAGAATTGGTAAGCTGCAATCTAATAAATGTTTGCTTTTGGGTTTAATACCACTTTAACTAAATAGAACAAATAAATCACAGTTACAAAAAAACAAATTGGTAGTTATTTTAATGGAAAGGGCGGTGGGTGGCAAAATTATTTCATTAGGTAGCTACATTCACATTGTTTCAATAACAATTAAAGCTGAACTCCAGAAAAAAGCTGAGGAGAGCGCTTTTTTCCAGGGAAGTGGTGTACCAGGTAAGGAAAAGTGTTTTCCCTTCCCCTAACCTAGGGGACCCCAAACTTTTTCTAAGCAAAGAGCCAGTTTACTATCCTTAAAGCCTTAGGAGGGCAAGGCTGTGGCCAGTGAGATTAAACCATGTTCCATCATTGGATTTAATTGGAGGAATTGTGCTTCATTGCTAGTATCAGTGGGAGGAATGGTGCTCCATCATTGGTGTCAGCTGGAGTAATAGTGCCCCATTGTTGGTATTAGTGGGAGGAATATATCCCTATCGGTGGTGTTAGTGGGAGGAATGGTGGCCCATCATTGGTATCATTTGGAAGACTAGTATCCTGAGGGTCAGATACAAGCAAGCAAAGGATCACATCTGGCCCATGGGCCACAGTTTAGAGACCACTACCCTACACAGAAAAGAGCAGTTAACTTTTGCAGTGTGGGAGCAGACCCACTGCAAGGTAGAATTTAATAGTTTTTGAGAATTCAGATTTATAGCTGATGTTTAGGTATGATTTTTATTGCAGATTGAACCAGCTTGAACCAATGTTAGTATGTATATCTCATACCTGACCAATGATCACTAAATTGGCATAGTCGTTTTACGTCATCGTAGGAGTCATTAGAACTGGCCGCTATTAGAGTGGCAGCAGCAGTCTTCTAGATCCAACTGTGGGTGGACCACTTCTTACATCTGCATTTTAACTCTTCCTTACTGCTGCCCTGACCCGAATAATTTTAGACCTGTTTTGTGTTTTATGATCCAGGAGTCTTGCACATGAGGGACCTTCAGAGACCCCTCCCCTCCCCCCCACTCACCCTTCCATATTTTTCTGCTTTTTGAGTTGCGTTACCTCTACCACCCTATATTTTTGATACTGCTCCTCTATTCTATTGAGAGTCATTTTCTTGGACCATATATTAAGCAACGGTTTACAAAAAAGTGTCCATAGTTCAACTTTAAAGCCCCACACATAATCATTATCACCAGTAGTATTATAGCAAGTCATGTAAGGTATATAAACTTTCAGACGGTGTGAAACAAGTCAAGAGCAGAAATGTTAGTGGGGGCTGAAGCTAAGGCAAGCCATAGATGAGTTGATTTTCTTTCCTTCCACCACTGGCTGCGTTGATGGGGGAATCTCTCCCGCAGCGCTATTGTATTCTGCCAGCTAGGGGTGCTGGGAGCCTTCCCAGCCAGCAGAATACAATAATTGTTTCTAGTGGCTATAGTTACTGGCAGTAATCACATGCAGAAAAATATGACCGGCTGGTTGTACCCATTTTACCCAATTAAGGGATTGACTTGGGTACAATCAGCATGCCCATAAATGGATCAAAATTTGGCCAGTCTACGTATGGCCGGCTTAACACTAAGCAGCTTTTTCAGCTCCTAGAACTGACCCCTGATAATGCCATCAATGTAACCAATAATCACACACAGATGCGGCCAGGATATGCCTCTGATGATGTCAAACTCCCAACAATCCCTTTGAAATTAGAAATTTGCAGCTTGGCAAGGCACTGTCATTTTTTAAAAGTGTTCTTCTGCTTCTAATCAAGTATTATATGTTAAAGGTGGATTTTATTACCTGATTTACCACTTTCTGTCCTTGGTGCATCCCTACATCAAACAGGTGCAACTTCCAAGCTACATAATTGCAAACAGTGTACTGTCTCACAAGTGAAAGGTAAAGCAACAATCTGGGGGCAATCTAACATTAAGGAGCCGCCTTTAGTAGCCACTAGCTTTTCTGATAAAATGTCTCCAGCAACTTTGCAAAAACTGCAGTGGACCATCAACAAAGTCTCCATGCTGATATAACTCAAAAGAAACGCATAAAAATACTTCATGGGCCCAGTATCACAGATTGCATATATTTTTAATTAGCCAAAGGGGTACATAGACAGGCATTAAACCAAAACTTTTGGCACTGCAGCTGAGTATCGGGCATGCACAATGATGTCACAGATAAGCTTTGCCTGACCGGTTTTGCAGCAGTATGCATCTTAAGGAGATCGTAGCATACCCAAGACCATGATTATCACTATACCCAACTTTTCCCTTGAAGAAGGAATGTATTTTTTCTAAAACATGTTGGGATACATTGAAGAATACACCGCGGCTGACAAAGCTATATACTTTTTGGCAGTATTCTGTTGGTGTGTCTCCATGTGTTAGGGTATACATAGTCTGTATTGTCTTTTTGATTGTATGCAACATTACCTACTAACGCACAATGTATATGTAGTTCTGTGGACCTCAGTGGGTCCTTTGCTTTTATCAATATAGATCTACTAAAAAAGACGGATATTGCTGTTAAGAAAGTCTGAATTTGTATCCATTTGTCTGCCTGTAAAATCCCAGGGGAATTCTTTCTACCCATTCTTTGGGTCTGTTTTTGCATACCCATGACATCTTAAATAGGCTTCAATGTTTAACACACAGGAAATGAACAACCCAGCACTGATTCTCATTGGTTTTGCTTATGTAGATAGGTACAAGGATAAGTAGATTATAGGTGGTTCCTCGGCTAAACAGGAGAAATGTTAGGAAAATCTAATAGGCTTTCTGCTTAACAGAAATGTACTATTGTTAGTAGTGCTTGATCAGTGTGTTAAAGTGCTGCTAGTTCTGCAATGAAGAACAAAAATAAAAGCGCACCAACCTTGTGCATTGCCTCAGTAAGGAAAGGGTGAATTTATTGAATTGAGATATATACTCACAAAAGTAGCAATAATTAAGGCATATAAAATCCAACATCAAAGCACTGGAGTAGGAGACACTTGCGAATCCCAACGAGAGGGGAGACTCTCAGGATGAAACGGACGCATTTTGAAGGGGGATCCCTTCTTCCTCAGAGCTAATCAAACGGATAATACCCTCATCTATATATAGCATAAATCTATGTGTGAGCTTTCCCATATGGGCAGGACATTCACAATATGGGAGGTGGGGCAACAGTATCAAAAAAACCACAGATGCAAATAAAAACATGCTAAGAAGACAATAAAAATGTGTACATATAAATAAGCAATATATGTAAAAAAATATATAAAAGTGAATATATAAAATATATTGAATGTCTAAAATATACAATATACACTACATAATTGCCATAGATTACTGATATTGATCAATAAAATGAAGATAAAATGAATATAAAAAATAGTAATAATACAAATAATAATAGACAGAGATTTAGCTTTACCTTTCTCTTGTGGTTAGATCTTATGTATCTGTTGCAGAGTGATCTAGAATAAGTCCATATTGTTAGAGTTCTTCAAAT